ATGCTTACAATAAGAATAAGAAAAATACTAAAAGGAAAAATTAACCAAAATTCTTCTGCATGCACAAACAGAAACACTTACTGTGTGTGTTGTGTACAATGTACCTTTAACTAAATTAAAATCAAAAAACATAAACTCATAACACTTTATAATCAATTTTAAAACTTAATACGGGCCACGTTTTTCTTCTCACCTTTTCTTCAACAAGAAAGAGCCGGTCAGCCCTATCTCTTCTTACACTAGGTCTATCTTTTCTATTCGTCTCCATGGTGGGGAGAAATAGCGGGCTTTATGAAATTAACGTAATACCGTCTTAATGATAAAAGAAGATGTGGCAGTCGTGGGTTCGACTCTTACCGTCACCCCTGTTCTTTTTCCCCCGCTACTCTTCCCCCCACCATATATGACGAAACAGTCAACAGACTCGTTCTTCTAGCGAATTCCGACTTAACTGTGGCCAGTGTTATTTCTGTTTTATTTATTAAAAAGAACTTTTTGATCTTGCACACTGCTTTAGCACGTCTCTTTTCAACAGACCAAAGATTTTTTTTCTGCTGTATATTGTTAAATACTGCAATAAGTAATAACTTTACTTCATCTTTCAGTTTTATTGTATGCCGTTTCTCTAAACCGGGATTATTGTGTTGTGCGGTCCATGTACTAACATTCTTAAACATATTTTTTCTAATTAGTACATTTCATACATACCACTTCTATGAAGCATAGTTAGAACATTCAAACTCTTTTTCGTTTGCAGTTATTGGACTTTCACCCGAAAGAGGGCACTCCCGATGTGCTGACCTAAGGGTCGATACATCATGGATGTTAACCCATTATGCGGCTAGGTAGCTAGTATCTCTCTTAAGCCAGATATTTAGATGTACCGCTCTATTAGCCACTATTCAACGATGACGGAACGGTCCATTTGTTTGTTTGTAAGATGTATATGTACACATTTAACTGATTGAGCCCGATTCTGATTTTGTGGTGCATTCGCTTTTCTTGTTACAAGGTTTTTGAATTGTTTCGGTAGAATGGTTCGTGGACGGTCCTACTGATATCACCAATGTGACATCTGCAAACGTTGCAATTTGTACTCAAATTACTGGTGAAAACAAGTTGTATACCTAGTATGGTACATGATGGCTCCTCTGTTTTTATTGATTTTAATTTTCAATCTGAAGTCTTATTCTCTAAACTTGACCTGCGCCACACGAGACGGAATGCGACGGAAATTTCTGCTGCATAAGATTACAATCGAAACACACAGACAGCGACAGACAAATTTCCCTCGTAATGTATCCGTCGAGCTCCGTTGGTACACCAGCGTCCGTCGACGGAACGTTCTGCTGGGTTCCGTCTAAACAGATCAAAACAGTGCAAAGTAGATGGGGTGCGCCACACAGACGAACAGGCGGAGAACGGAAGTGGTAGGCAGTCGGACACGCAAACTGCAAGTGAAACTGATCTAGGATGGACTTGGTCCAATTTATTGCGGAAGTTCTATAGTCATTCCATAGTATTGGAAGATCTTGACAGGATAGCGTCGAAGTTCCCCATACAGAGTAATTGACCACGTGCTACCCCTTTCATAATCAATGGATGAATCCAATGTTCTTTCTTTTCTGCTTCTCCATTGCCTTGTAAATATACGAAATGAAAAGTTTTTCCATTGTATCGAACAAGATCAACTGAGTCACGTTAACCAAACAGTCGTTGAAGTCATTCCGTTCATTTTCGCTGTATATGTGGCTTGTTCGAGTTGGGCGGATTTTTCGTCACGAAAACTTCCGTCGCATTTCCGTCTAGTTTGACGCCGGCCGGTTAGGTAGGAACTGATAATATCTACAAACTGCTTTGGTAGCATCGCTTTTATCTAAATGATAGTCCTTCATGCCAGACCTTGTCAACATCAAGGAAGATAGCAGAAAAAAAAAATTGTTTCTCTTCGAGTCTATTACATCCGTTAGTCGGTGAATTTGTTCTATTTGAATTTTCACCCAGAAGGGTGGTCGTCATTGATGTGCTGACCCTAGAGCCTACCAAAGAAGAATTCACCTACCAACTTCGCTAGGCTCTGACATATGCATCGTTAGCTATGTCATTTCAGCCCCTGTAAACTATAATCTAGCCTAAAATTAACTAAATTCTACAATACATTCTCACAAATAAATACATTTAAACTTATGTACATTGTACTCATTCTAATTAGTCGGTGGAGTACTCGCTATTCCGCCATCGACCCTAAAAACAATGCTAGGGAGCAATGGTAACGCTATATGTCACCATTGGCTCCTCACCAATTACACTAATAAATACATGGACTCAAACAAGGCACATAAAACATGTACTATATACAAAAAAACATGTCTTCCTAAAATCGGAACAGGGGATGAGAAAGTAGCTATTTTGACCGTGAATCATTCTGATACTCGGCGGCAAGCCTACACGCTCACTGTAAGCAGCCAAGGCATGACAAGCTTCTACCACATCACGAACCTTTCTCTGCGTAAGGGGCAACTGTGCGGGCTTTGTCTCAGAGCAGGTGCCCGTCTGTCAACCACGTATTACAACTTAATCGGAGTAAGATCGATTTCTCGTTCCCTTTGCTCTTATTCTTTCTGTTCCTTTGGTTTAAAATAATTCGTTTAGATCAAATCATAATTAATAAACTGAAAATACATTTGCGATATGAGAAAATGGAAGATTAAAAAGAAACGAGTAAAAATTTACAATAGCTAATTAATCTTTTTATGTAAGGCTTTGATTGAAATGGAAAAGTTAGTGTCGCGAGCGGGATTCGAACCCATGACCTTCGGCTCAGTACGCTGCTCAAACCAGTTGAGCTATCATGAATTCGATCCACTCGGAACGGTTTCGAATCCCGCCTGAGTCACTAACTTTTTCATTTCAATCAAAACCTTACATAAAAATATTAATTAATTGAAAGAAGTAAATTAAATTTAACGGATTTACAATAGCGTTGGTAATTCGGTTGAATACAGGCTTCACAAACGAAAAAGAGCTTTTTGACTGATCTCTACAGCTATAGTATGAAAAACGTTTTTAAGATTATAATCGTCTCTACTTTAAACCGATGTTTTGCCAATGTTTTTAAATGAAACCTTTTCAAAGAGACATTTGCGATGACAAAAGGTCTTATTTCAACAAAGTCTTATTTTGAAGCCACCTGAAAAAGACAGGAGTCGTCCGAGGTTTTCATACGAAAGTAGTAATTTCACTGAAATCGTATCTTATCCTCATTGTTCATCAGGAATAAAAACCGGCATTTGTAAAGACAGACGTAGAAATGAACTTTGTTTGATGTTAGCCAAAAGAAAAACTTAGTTTAAAAAGTAAATTGAAGAAAAAGAGGTAAAGAATTGAAATATATTGAAAAAACGTTACAATATATACACTCTATATATAGGGTGTCCCAGTTCCTTCTGACAAAACTCAGGGAATCAATTCTACTCTTCGTTTCGAGCAATAAATGCTCAGGAGAAAATTTTCTGAAAGTTCTCTATTTTGAAGATATTCGTCAATTTAAGTTTTTTCAACTTTTCTCTACCTTACCACATAAAAACGCTTACAACTTCCAAAATGTTGAGACTACAACAAATCCAATTACACGATTTGAAAGAACGCTAAATTTGCTGGAAGATACTTTTTTGCAATAATCTGAATGACATAAAATGTTAGCCAATATCAGTTGGAACATGTCAAAATTACAAAATTTAAAATTTTCCTCATGATTGCACGTTCTACTGAGGTTACAAAAAAATACCTACAACTTGTCAAATTTTACAAAAACTTCTTCATCTAATATGCTTTACGTTGATATATCCAGGTTTTTAAATAATGTTCTAGTAGAGTTGAAATATAACAATTGATTGTTCGAAAACGTGAGCTAGGGTAAATTTGAAGGGGGGGGGGTAGAAATTCAGAAAGTCATTTATGCATTCGAGAAGAGGGAAAACACGATTTCCTCTGAAAAGTTCCTCCTTTGTCGTTAGGTGCTTTCTACAAGAAGAACCATTGCATTTTATTGTATGAAGATTTCTTGTATGGTTTTTGTGAGATTACAGATGTGTCATTTTTATTTTACAAAGCGAGTTCTAATTGATTTATTTCTACCCCCCTTCAAATTTACCTTAGCTTTTCGAACATTCAATTGTTACTTTTCCACTCTATTAGAACATTATTTAAAAACCTGGATATATCAACGTAAAGCGTATTAGATGAACAAGTTTTTGTAAAATTTGACAAGTTGTAGGTATTTTTTTGTAACCTCAGTACAATGTGCAATCATGACCCAAATTTTAAATTTTGTAATTTTGACATGTTCCAACTGATATTGGTTAACATTTTATGTCATTCAGATTATTGCAAAAAAGTATCTTCCAGCAAATTTAGCGTTCTTTCAAATGGTGCAATTGGATTTGTTGTAGTCTCAACATTTTGGAAGTTGTAAGCGTTTTTATGTGGTAAGGTAGTGAAAAGTTGAACAAACCTAAATTGACGAATATCTTCAAAATAGAGAACTTTCCGAAAATTTTCTCCTGAGCATTTTTTGCTCCAAACGAAGAGTAGAATCGATTCCNTATAGATTCAACAATTCATTTAAATGGAAACAAAAACCAATGTGAAAAATGTTCTCTTTATAGGAAGCAGATTTCAGAATTATTAATAACTTTTTCTCGTGACATCAATTTTTGTATTGAACGATTTTTAACGATATGCTCAAAAAATAGAAGGCCGGTAAAACACAAAAAGTGCGCATCGGGGGGACAAAACACATGAAACCCACAGATACATCAAAAAGACACAACACTGAAATGAATATTTACATGAATGGTAAATGAACGTTGACCAATATTTTTATAAAAGGTATCTGAGCAGGATCAAAATTATCAGTTTGGCTAAGTAATATTAAATTATTTCAAAGGGAAAAATCAAATTACATGAGGTGCAAGTTTTGCAACTTTTTGAGTTTTTACCTGTGGGAAGAGGAGAGCGAGGAGGTTCGCCTGGGTCGAGCGGATGTTGAGCTGAGCCTCGTGAAAAGTTGAAGGCTTAACGACGGCTACGACTCGGGCTATGGCCGTAATTATTCGTGAAGATTACAACCATGGCAATCTCGAAAATTTTCGACCCAACTCACGGCTCACCCTACAGAAAGCAGAGATTAGTTTCGCTTCTCGCCCGCAATCCCGAAGTCCTCCTACAAAGGTTCAAATCTGAAAATGAACGTTTTGCATTTTTTTTCGCCGAAATTTTCGAACTTCGTCTTTCTACGGCTACGACATACAGATATCATCAGACAAAATTTTGGGAATGGCAGTTTTGCCATTTTGAAGAGGTACATGCTGCAAATATGAGAAATTGATCTAAAAACAAAACAGAAAAAATATACATAAATTATCGTTCACCATAGTGTTACAAGTTATGCAAAAATTGGAGTTTTGAAAGGATTTTGATCGATTACATTGGAAAATTGTTAACAAATTATCAAAACGTTATGAAGGTGGAACTGTATGAAAACACCTCTCATCATACTTGTTGGGCATATCATTTACAAACTTAGTTCTCGTAGAGTCATTAAACCATTAAACTATATTGATTATTGTTTTTAATTTTAAAAGAGCAAGTTTCTAATTATCACGTGACATATCCAAAATCTTGTTATAACCTGATGCCGGTATAAAATAAATTTCACAGAATCTAGTTAATTTAATCATGGAATATGACCCTCGCATCGAAACAAGAGTGTATTAATTTACGAGCGGAGACGTAAACAACGATGAAAACGAGAACAATTTAAACAATCGGGCTGAAAATCTATGGCAGACTTCGTCTTAAGAAACTAATTTAGTGAGGAAAACAAGCCCGATTGAAATAGATTTTTGAAACTAGATGACACTACCAGTCAGATTCGTTCCGCCCAAGGCCTGTTTCACACTTGGTGTACACGATTATTGGGAGTAGAAGTGAATGAGATGTTTCATACTGGTCAAAAGCTGTATTCGTATCACCGATACCCAGTTGCCGGGCATTGTTGAGGGTAGCCGGCACCCCCCTCGTCAAGAGTCGACTGTCGGTCTCGGGTAAACGGCCAAGCTAAAATGCATAGAGTTGGATGTTTATGGAGGCCTTCACATCTACCCGGCACGGCATTCGTTTCTAATTCAAAGTTTACCTTTTAAAATGGCCTCCGCTGAAATGGCAGACCATGATGTTGAGGGATCGATCATGTTCGTGAACGAAATTGTGTGTCGATTTCAATGGCTAATTCGGGATTTAGGTTTATAGCTCTATGGAAAATTTTCAATTTATTTTTCATTATTCTAAATGAATACTCAACATATCATCGTGCTATCGAAATGCGGTAATAGAAAATTCTTGTTTCAATCGTCAACTCCAAATGGTCGTCGAAGGTGTTTGTGCAGCCCGAACGCTTCATCAGGAAAGACAAAAATTAGAAAAACCTTGTTCCAATTGTCAATCCCAAGTTGTCGTCGAAACCGTTTGTGCACCCAGAACGCTTCAACAGCAACGACAAAATATGGAACTTCGGAACATAGAAAGATCCAGCCATCTTTGGGACGTACTTAATTCTCAGCCGTAGGATTGTGTCGCTCTTCCTCAGCCAAATTGCCTGTCTGAGAGGGTAATCCTATCGTTAATCCTCCTCGAGACTAGCAATTCCAGGGTTTTGCCCATAACGCTAAGGGGGCTTCCACCGATAAGCTTTTGGTGTCTGCATCTTTGATCCGTATTAGCGTTAATTTTGCTGCCTTCCAAGCAATCGGCAAGTAGCCGAGGCTAATACAAACATTGACAATTGCCAAGGGCCTCAGGTTTTTTCATTTTTTTAATGCCCTAGCTTCAAACTCGTCAATTTTTGGCGCTTGTTAGGTCTTAACCCACGTATGCTCTCTGTTATTTCCCATTTGACACCATCTCTTGGATTTCCGTATGATTAGTTTTTGTCTTAGTGTCTTCTTCTAATATCCGGTGGGAACATCTTCCGCAGAAGCAGTTCGTAGAATTTGCCTACACTGCCGCTCGTGACAATGCTAAATTTAATACTGCGGCTGAGGGAGCACTACTACTTATTGCCTTCAAAGGCATATCCCAAACTTTCTGCGCATTATCTTCATCTAGATGCTAGACGAGGAAGCCATTTCTCTGAGTTCATTTTTCAGTCATGGCTTCCAAGAAGAACACTGTCTTTGACGTAACTGCCGACATCTGAATAGGCCAGATACATCTTGCAGGAGGAAAAAAAAGAATCTTTCTTTCTTTAATGTAGTTCGTCAAATGTTTGCACATCTAAAGCAGCTGAAAACTCTTACACTGTCATTTCTTAAATCTTCAAAAAATACAACAAATCTCCCAATCTCGTCTCTTCTCGTTTATTTCTTCTCCTTTTCTTTATACGTCTATACAACTCCATAAATTATTGCGTTCCATTCTAACCTTGGACGCGGGTACAACTAATGCCGGATTGAGTCCCGAGTCGTGTGCAGAGTATAAGTATGAAGCAGGCCTATATCTAAGTCCTGAAATTAAGTGTTATTACCCATTAAAACATTTGTAATTTGTATTTTATTGTTTTAAATGCCACTCTTAACACACTCGCGTTTATGATGCTGAATTGTAATATTATTTTACTACTACATCATTATTGTTACAATTAGCTTTGTTTGAGAAGAATTAGTTCTCGTGGGAAAGTGTTCGAATCCAAATATTTTTTAAAATATTATTTTTATAGATACAATTTGTTATTTGTGTATAGTCGAAAATAAATTTAAAATTGAATTTTAATCGAATTGGAAATAATCAAACGCGCATTTTTACCATAAACGGAAAATTTATCTTTACATGTTGGTAAAACCGTTTCAAAACGCCCATTTCTCATGATTTGAACATGTTTAGGATGTGAACGTAATTAATTTTATGATATCACTCACCATAATAAATACGAGTGTTTGCCATCGCACTATTTCGGCCTGGTTTCAAAATTCCAAGTCTTTATCTCTCGTCCTGAAAAAGAAACGGAAATTAAGTTTTGTTTGTTTAAACGAAATTTTTTTTCGAAATAAAGTTACAATATTATTACGCTTTTAAATTTATTTTAGACCTTTGGCTAAATAAGATGATCATTTCAGAAATTTGGACCATTGAAAAATTATAATTACAACGAGGACAACCTGGTTAGTGGGTCGCGGATTTGGACCCAACTTTTTTTTTTATTCTACAATTGGACTCGTATCAGATACTTATTATGAATAGGCCCTGGTTTCGCCAATTTTTTTTTTTTTAAGTTTTTGAATTTTGAGATTTACCGTTTGTTAACATTTTTAGTTCGTCATTCTACTTGTTCAAATCATCCATGTAAATATATAATTTTACAGCTCTTTTTATATAGATTGCAAAATAAATATAGCATAAGCAACCAAAGTTTTTCATTAACCAAACAATTTTAAAAATAAAATATTTTTAAGTAAACTAGGTCATTATGTTAAAAATAAAGTTGAAACGGCTATAATTCAAAAACGGTTAAAAGGATTTCAACGTCAAAAACAGTCCATTTGAAAGAAGAAAAACATCATTTTAACGACGTATGTGACATTAAAATATATAAAATATTTCTATGAGAAAATACACAATACAATAGCAAAATTATTTGGTAGACAGACATAAGCAACCAAAGTTGACCAACAACCAAACGATTTTAAAAATCAAATATTTTTAAGTAAACTAGGTCATTATGTTAAAAATAAAGTTGAAACGGCTATAATTCAAAAACGGTTAAAAGGATTTCAACGTCAAAAACTGACCATTTGAAAGAAGAAAAACAGCATTTTAACGACGTATGTGACATTAAAATATATAAAATATTTCTATGAGAAAATACACAATACAATAGCAAAATTATTTGGTAGACAGACATAAGCAACCAAAGTTGACCAACAACCAAACGATTTTAAAAATCAAATATTTTTAAGTAAACTAGGTCATTATGTTAAAAATAAAGTTGAAACGGCTATAATTCGAAAACGGTTTAAAGGATTTCAACGTCAAACAGACCATTCGAAAGAAGAAAAACGTATCATTTTAACAACGATTTCTATGAGAAAATACACAAAATAGCAAAATTATTTGTCAGACATTATTAACCTTCTAAATTAACTAAAAATGAGCGTACCTACGCCTAGCAGACTCATCAACATCATCCCAATAATTTTATAAAATCGACTAATACCAAAATAGCAAATGAGAATACGTAATAATGAAAACTTCTCTTCACATTATGTGCCATAACTTCTTTGACAAATTTAAAAACTTATTGCGCCATCGTTTTCAGAGTAAAAATCCTTTAAAACAGTAGGTAAATAGTATACTTCATTTCAAAATTGGCTCTGAAGTACCCTGACAACAAATATTTTAAAACAGCGGTAAAAATTTAAAACTAGATGTATTAAGTTCATTGGTCCGATTGACCAAATACATTCTTTCTAATTAATTAATTATTAATTAAGGTTTTGGTTGAGATAAAAAAATCAGTGTCACGAGCGTGATTCGACCTTCCGCGCCGTGACTTCCCGCTCGTGACACTGACTTTTTTGTCTCAACCAAAACCTCAATTAAAAATTAATTAATTGAAAAGAATTTATTTGGTCAATCGGACCACGAAACCTAATACATGTAATAAGCAAAATAAAGTATCCTTCACTAAAGCTCTCCTTGGCCATTTCATTTGTCGCCGAGAATCAAATAGATTTCACGACATTTCAAAAATGGCAAAAAGGAGGGAAAATTCGAAAGGTGGGGTTGAGATGGGAAGGTGGTGTCCGAGTGGATCGAAGTCTCATTAGCCCAAGTCGGAGAGCAGCGGCGTATTTAGCCGAAGGTCGTGGGTTCGAATCCCGCTCGTGACACTGACTTTTTTATCTCAACTAAAAACCTTAATTAATTGTAATATATTAATTGGTCAAGCGGACCACGAAACTAGTGAATTGAATAAGTTTAAAATGAAGTATAAATATATATATATATAAAGCTATATAAGAATATATAAAGCTCTCCGAGGCCATTTCATTTGTCGCCGAGAATCAAATAGATTTCACGAAATTTGAAAAATGGCAAAAAAGGAGGGAAAATTTAAAAGGTGGGGTTGAGATGGGAAGGTGGTGTCTGAGTGGATCGAATTCTCAATAGCCCAAGTGGGAGAGCAGCGGCGTATTGAGCCGAAGGTCGTGGGTTCGAATCCCGTTCGTGACACTGACTTTTTTATCTCAATCAAAACCTTAATTAAAAATTAATTAATTGAAAAGAATTTAAAACTAGACTTAAACACGATGTCTATTTAAGAGAAATTTAGCCGGACCATTTAGGCCTGAATATTATTTTTGTTGGAAGATGATTTTTAACTATTTTTTGAAATATATATCGTCCATCTTCCCTGACAAGAAAATCTAAAGTGTTCGTTTTAATGCATGGTCACGTTTTATTTACACTATGTTTTAGTGAATGCGATTACACCATGAATAAACGATAAATTATTTTTTTAAGGTATAAAATTTGTCGTTTTGTTTGTGTAAAACAAGTGAGTTTATTATTATTATTTTGCTATTGATAAAAAATGAAGACGTAGTTGAACTTTTCAAGAAGAGCTACTTTCTTCATAACTCATTTTCTGTAAAAATCATAAAAATCGATTAATTTTTTTGGCAATTTTGGCAACTTCCATAAGTAGTTAAATAAAAAGCAAATAATTAAACAAGCTTGAAAACAAGATTTCACGTTGGATTGATAACCGCTAAGTGAAAATGCAGCGAAAAAATCGTTTAACTAAGAAGGAACTGACAAAGCGCTAATCTGCGATTTGAATGAATTGGCTAGAAATTAATCCACCTCCGACATCGTGGGAATTAAAACTTCTTGAATGGAATCCAATTTGCTAAGACAAATCCGAGAGTCGGGGCAAAGTAAGTGATAAAGTTGAGCAATTGCCCTGATGACGGAGGAGACGAGGGGAAATGAAACTTTCAACCTGTTGACTTCAGTCCCTGATGTCAAGGAGCTATTTTCACGAATTCTCTCTTAAACTGGAAAGGAAATTTACTTTCATACCCTGTACCGGTAAGGTACGAATATGAACGAACCGATTTCGTGTTTTCTAATTTTCCGGAAAAACCACCTTTAAAAGACGAAGGGGTGATAACTGATAGAATAGTAGATATGAAATTACGCTAATTGTTGCACGGTGTCATTGGACCCGCACAACTTCTATTCTATTTTTGTTTTATTTTATACAGTTTTTACTGAATTATGAATATAAGTATGTCGGGTTCGAATGCAGGGCCGCTGGATTCGAACCCGGGGCATTCACCTTACAGTGATGAGCGTCATGTCAACGGCTAAACCGACCCTCCTCTATTCGCTTTAAATGCTAACTTTCTGCAGTTTTCTGTCAGGAGGTCGATATTCTAGTCTAAACTTTTACATATCGTTTAACGTGCTATCTCATAATTTGCTTCAGGTCCACTTGAATTTTTTATAATCTGTGAAAGAGCACAGAAGGACGAAATACTTATTGCTCATTGTTAGCTGACGTTTAGCTCAATCATTTCACAAATTTCCTCTTTTATCTAAATTTCAACTGATATTTGCTTATTTGGAAACGGTGTATTACCCCTCACTGTACTGATAGCTCATCAAGAAACTTGATAAGTAGGCCCCGTTTCAGTGGTTGAATTTCTTCTACGGTATATCCAAAAAGAATTCCTCCTGCGGGCAAATGTGGCGCAACAGTTCGTTAGTAGGTGTGTTGATGTCTGAATCTGACTGTTAATGACATTGTGTCATACCAATCTTCTTCAAATGCCAATTCAGTCTGCAGTGTCCTTATCAGGATCAAGACGTTTTACCCTGCTTTCTGTGATTCATTCTGTTCTTCCTACCAAAGAGTGCTAGAAGATTCTTGGATTGTTTGTGTGCAAGGAGTGAATTCCACTATTCCCTCATTTTCAATTTGTCTTTTTGTCTGACATACTCATTGTTAGTGTTAATTCCTATGCAATAGAAGGGCTCAGGATCTATCAGCAGTATAACAGCCCCTTTCCTTGCAAAGGCGTCCGTCCTCTCTCTATTTGCACTCTACTCCCACATGTCCTGGGACCTAGAAGATGGTGACTTCGTTTTGCATACCTAATCTGTTTAGTTTAGTTTTGCAATTCAGTATAATCGTAGAGCGAATGAATTTAGTGCTTCGATGGCTGCTTGGCTACCTTACATGATAACTATAATAATAATAAAAAAATGGGAAGTTTATGGGCCGACAAACAGCTAAGGTCATCGCCGGCCCTCTGCGTGTTTTCCTTCTTTTTCTCTTCGTTCGCATGTTTTGTTTTAAACTGCAGTCATTTGAGCATTTCAAATATATACTACGTTGATATCCTAGAGTGCTAGTCTCTCGTTTGTACCTAATGTTGTCAAATACAGAACAGAAACGAAACATACAATACACATATATACATCACCACAGACATAGTTGTATGGTCACATTCACTCCCCCAGAGTACTCGATATTCCTCGTGGCGGGGTTGAACCTTCTCCACTCTCGGTAATAACTTACTTTTACTCTCTAGACGTCAAACACTCCCCCCCCCCCCTCAGAGTACTTAATATTCCTTGGAGCGGGGTTGTAAGCAACCTATTCCTTTCACGCTAATAAATTACTTTTACTCTTCAGACATACTCACCCCAGAGTACTCGATATTCCTGGAAGTTGGGTTAAACAACCTCTTCCTTTCGCGCTAATAAATCACATTCATTCCAATGCATTACTATTGTCCAAGTCCAGTGCGATAAAATACCTGAATGTCTGTTTTGTCGTTTCGCGCGCTTTTCACATTATAAGGCGATAATTGATTCATTCTGAAATTAAAGAAATCCTTCGGTCTTAACTTCAACGGACGCCTTCACGTAAATGCGAGTAAAATTTAATGCACTGTTGGTGGTGGTTGTTGGTCTGC